ACCGAGTTATCTGTCCAGCCCTTTATAAATTAATTTTTAACAAAGTACTTCTAGTGATGCTGATGGATAGAGGTGAATGTGTGTTAATTTACCTAATTTAGTTTCCAAGATAGCTGTGAACCAGTAAGCACCATCTGACTTGGGGCTGGAGAGATAGCTCAATGGTTAAGAACACTGCTGTTCTTGCATAAGACCCTGGTTCAAATCCATAGTACCCACGTGGCAGCTAACAACTGTCTGTGATTCCAGTTTCAGGGGATCCGACACCCTCTTCTGACCTCTGAGGGCATTGCACGACATGGGTATACCTACATATACGCAGGCATTGCACTCATACACATAAAAGTAAATAAATTAATTAAAAAAGTACCATCTGCCTATATAAAGATGAGGATATGATTTAAGGCAGGTCCAGAATTTGAATCTGTGTCATTATAGCAGGATCATGGATTTTTATCTGGAAGGAAATATGCATAGACATTTTTCCCTGAAAGGGACTGTGGTATGAAAAATACAGAAAGGGTCTCATGGAGTGTTCTGTAGGATGCCTTAGTTGTAGTTTAAGTAAGCCACATGCTTCTGTTAGTGATGAAGGATAGAACAAAAGTCATAGGAATCAGTCCCCATCCAAGATTATGAGCTCCTTAAGGTAGAAACTGAATAATGGTGAACTGGTTGTAGTGGTGTGTACCTGGAGGCTGAGACAGGAGACAGTTGGAGGTTAACCTGAGCTATATAATGAAATCCTTTCTCAAAAATAAGCGAGGAGCTGGAGAGATGGCTATCAGTTAAGAGCACCTACTGTACTTCCAGAGGACCTGGGTTCAGTTCCCCACAACCACATTAGTGATTAACACCTGTCCTCTAGTTCCAGGAATTCTGATACCCTCTCTGGCCTCTGTGGGCACCAGGTACACACATGGTGAACTTATATACATGCAGGCAAAACATTCATATACATTAAGTAAAAATAAGTAAATGAGTTGGGCATACTCTACAAATGTTGGTGAATAATTAAGTGAAAGAATTTGAAAATGGAGAGCTAGCAATGCAGGCCAAGGTTTTAAGCGTATTTGGGGGGGGGGGGGGG